AGGCTCTCTGTGGTTTATTTCTGGCTACCACTCCAAGTGTATCTTGAAAACTCTGAAATAGATCGACACAGACATGTTCAGTTGATTTATGAAGAAGATGCAAAGACCAGTCAATGGGAAAGGAAAAATCTCTTCAGCAAATTGTACTGGAATGGTCTTTGATTTTTACTTAATGACATACACCAAAGGACATTGACTGTTACTGCATACCATACACAAAGTTTAACTCCAAGTGTATCATCGACCTAAATGTGAACACTGAAGCTATGAACTTTCTAAAGGAAAGTCACTGAAGTCTTATGGTTGCAGAGATTTACTATTCAGATGACACAAGCTAAAATCATAGAGAAAAACATTGGATATATTGGATTTTATCAAAATGAAAAACTCAATCTTCTAAAGGCATACATGAGAAGACAAAAATTAACATCAACTAGGAGAAAATTTTGTAGCACATTTCTCAAAAAACTTGTATCTAGAATATCTAAACAATCTTACAACCATTACAAAAATGGACAAAAAATGTTGAACAGACACTTCACAAAAGAAGATATGCAAATGGCCAGTAATCATATGAAAAATTACTTGACATGTTAGTCATTAGAGAAATGCAAAATAAGACCTAGTACCATAGCACATCTACTAGAATGACTAAAATGAAAAAGACTGATCATATGAATAATTAGCAGGAAGACGGAGCTACTGGGACTCACACCCATTCTATTGCTGAGTCAGGCGTGAAAATGGTACAGGCACACAGGAAAATCGCTCTGCAGTTTCCCAGTTCAGCACACACTTGTCACATGATCCAGCCATTCCACTTCTAGATATTTACTTAAGTTAATAAAAGCCTATGTCCACATGGAAATCTGTACACAAATGTTCTTAACAGCTTTATTTATAATAACCCCAGACTAAGAGAAAAACTACATGCCTATTAGGTGAATGTAGTAACATTTGTATTATATCTATATAATGGATGCAGTTTTTTTGTATACAAATTATACTTTAAAATTGATTTGATTTAAAATTTCTGTGTGTGAGATGTGTTTCTCAGTGTCTTTCTCTGAGTCCTTAAAAATGTAGTATTCATGATTCATTGCTGCATTTGAATATAATTGGAAACACAAATACATTTTAATAATTTCTTTCTTTTTTAAGATTTGTTTATTTACTCCAGAGAGACAATGAGAGAGCGTGCCCTCATGAATGGGGAGAGCAGCAGAGGCAGAGGGAGACAGAGAATCCACAAGACGACTTCCCTCTGAGTGGGGGAGCCTGGTGCTGACTCCAGCCCAGGTCCCTGAGATTATGACCTCAGCCAAAACCACGAGTCTGAAGCTCAACCAACTGAGCCACCCAGGTGCCCCAGTAATTCCAAAAATAGTAGAGCTAGTAGAGTTTTGATGAGGGAGGAGATACGTGTGTATAACAGTAGGAGTTACTGCCTGGAGAATCAGAGGACTGATGGTAAACAGAATAAGGGTTTGAGTTCAGACTTAATTCAAGTTTATTTTGTCAGTGGGACCTGAAGTCTTTCCATAATTATAACCTAAAATAACACATTTGAGAAATTATAAACACAGGCAAAATGTTTAATTTGTTGATCTTTCATGGGCATGAAAGATGACATGCAGTAAGGAACTACACATAAAATACATGTATTTGAAGGTATGTTTTAAGATGCTGAATGAAGTTTAATCTGTCATTTATCTTTCCTTCCATAATGCAGCGATTCTTCTGCTTATCTGTTTCTACATTAGCACCAACCATGATCGCGTATTGGTTCTTTGTGTGCCTAGTTACGCTAAATGCTCTATGGATGTGATTTCCCCCCATCTCAATCTTCTATTGTTTGGCTTATCACATCCTAATCACAGGCTACTGTGAGATGGTTATTTAAGTGTCAACCAATTATCCATGTAAAAGGAGGTAAATAGAACACTTGTTTTCTCAAGCAAACTTCTACTTAGTTGAAGGAACTAGCTCTTTCTGAAAGGCAGATTTCATATTTTGAATGCCCTTAATACGAGTGCATTTTGCCCAGTTCAACAATATGATTCAGCCAACATTGACTGATTTCCTGTTTGTAGAAGGCACCAGGCTGGGCCTTTGGAAGATGCAGATTCTTTGCTAAATGCAGGCTCAGTGGGCCAAGGGCAGGGCAGCTGGCCAAAGTTGAATCTTAGTCTAGAAGAGGATTCAGAGGATCCTGATAAAATCTGGCAAAGGAGGGAAGCTTTGTCCAACCCACCCCAGCACGTTGTGTTGTATGTACCCTCGTGTCTTTGACCGGCTGTGTCCTCTCAGGAATGTCATTCGGCTTTCGTTGGAACAAAAAACTACATGTTCTTCCTACCAAACATCTATTTTACATTTATGTTCACATTAGTGTGACTGGACTTGACTTCGACACTCGCAACAGAGCTCACTGTCTATCCTCATTTGAAGCATTTTCCTTACTATTTTAAATTGTTTGTTAACATTTATGTGTCTGTATTTAGAAACTCTAAAACCCCAACAGTCAGGGACTTGTTATAGCACATGGCATGGTGGCTCGGACAAATAGTGCTGAGAATACTGGGTGATCTTTTAGAAAAAGACAATATTTGATCCATATCGAATACCATATTTAAGAGTGAGCTCTAAACACATTATTTAATACAAAAATGACCACATACTGAGGCTAAAAGAAAAAGGTGAATTTCTCCATAACCTCAGTGTATGGGAAGACTTTCTAAGTACGACTTAAAAATCCTGATGCCACAAAGAAAAGTTACCTAATTTATTTGACAATATTAAAATACTTTTGCATGGCTAAATCACTACAAGTAGGGTCAAAATACAAATGAAATAGAGAAATATATGTAACTTTCATTACATATACAGGACTACTATTCCCAGCATTTAAAAAAACTATTAAAATTGAGGGATGAAGCTATGGTAAATGCACACATTGGAACGGTAGGCAGCTACACTGAACAAAATAACTTTAAACTGATGTTGACTGGATTGTAATCCACTCAGTAAGAAAGAATATAGTCTAGGGGCACCTGGGTGGCTCAGTCGTTAAGTGTCTGCCTTCGGCTCAGGTCATGATCCCAGAGTCCTAGGATCGAGCCCCACATCGGGCTCCCTGCTCAGCGGGAAGCCTGCTTCTCCCTCTCCCACTCCCCCTGCTTGTGTTCCCTCTCTCGCTGTCTCTCTCTCTCTGTCAAAAAAATAAATAAAATCTTTTAAAAAGAGAAAGAATATAGTCTAAAGATAAATATAATAAACTAACTTTTATGTTTAAGACAAGAGAAAGGGGGGAGGGAGTAGAAATATAAATCTATCTGCATTCCTTTGCAAAAGAAAAGGAGAGGAAGGAAAAACAGAATAATGTGATAGATTATCTATAAGGCTGTTTTTGAATAGCATGAAGGTCAGGGAAACAAATGAAGGTCTATGGATTTCTGTATTTACATAGTTTGGTTTTCCAAAGCATGTTAGTATTTTACATAAAAAATTATATTTAAAACAAAAATAATGGAGAAGAAAACTCTAAAATGGAATACAAACAGAAAGAAGGAAACTCAAAATGTTTCTTTCTTTATAAAGATTTATTTATTTGAGAGAGAGACTGAGCGGTGGGGGAGGGGCAGAGGGGGAGAGAGAGAGAGAGAGAGAGAGAGAGAGAGAAGCAGACTCCCTGCTCAGCAGGAAGCCTGATGCCTTACTTGATCACAGGATGCTGAGATAATGAACTGAGCTGAAGGCAGATGCTTAACCAACTGAGTCACCCAGGCGCCCCCAAAATGTTTTCAAATGTTGTAACATAATTGCAGTGTACTAAAAAACATCAGTGAACACAATTGCATTTTGAACATATTGCTTTGAATATCTGTCTTGTCAGTCTAAAGAAAAAAAGAACTGCAAAAAGTCTATTTTTTGAGAAGACTATTCTTTGAGTAGTTTGTTGGGTAGGGCTGATATTCGCAGTTGGTGGATGAGTATATGGTAACCTTTTTTCAGTGCATAGCACGATTGAGCAAATGAGTAAATATACCAAAGATGTTGAAAGGAGATTTCTTAATCTTAGAAGGGGAATTTACTAATGTGGAAATGGGGAGGCTTAAAATCACCTCTGTGGTAGTGTATTGGAATGGAAGGTATCACTATGAATTCACAGTTTTTCACAAATCCAAATATGGCAATTTACATCTGTAATATTTATATCCATATACATATCTATTTAATAACTCTGTCCACTGAGAAGCATTTATAAACAGTGGAGCTAAATTAGCAATGAGCACTTCTGTCAACCACAGCCAGGTTTCTAAATACCATTTCTTACTAAAAGGTCTCTGAGAAATGGAAGATTTTAAGACAGATTTTAAGACAAGAAAAGTACAAGAGGAGTCCGGAAATAGTGTGCAAGAAATAAAGAAAAAGTTCCAAAATGGTTGAGGTTAAGCAGGAGTAACCTGATACATGATGAGAGTAAGAGATGATAGACCACTGAATAAATATAAATCAATGAATAAATAATGATAACAAATTGATACAGACAGATGATAGGTATATAGATTGATGGATGGATGGAGGGATTGATAACTAGATAGGTGGGGCAAAGGAAAGGCTTTTGTAACAATACAATGAAACATGAAAAAAAGAAAGAAAAATGCAGTTAAAATCACCAATTGGCCACCATGACAGTAATAACTGCTTCAGGTAAGAAGTATAAAAGATGATAAAATGAGTGAGTGAAATTTGATAGGAACAGAATATTTACACAGCTTCAAAATGTCTCCCCATGTCTTACTTCCTAATTATAGGGTAAAAAATAGCAACTTTACAATGGAGAATCTTGGTGAACACCACCTTAAACAGGGGATAGAGTTATTATTTCTAATGACAGGACCATCTGACATCATGTGCTTCCCATTGTGATTCACTAGATGAAATCAACACCACCTTTGTGGTATTCCCACCATACTCCCTAGTAACCTGAAGTATAATGAGAAACATCAGGCAAACACAACTTGGGATCCATCATTCAAAATAAACAGTCATATCAATGACATGAAAGACAAGGGCTGAGAACCAATTCTCACTAAAGGAGATGAATAGACCTGATAACTCCACGCAATGTGTAATCCTGGATTGGCTCCTGTACCAGCAAATTCATATCACAACAGAGGATATTAATCAGACAATTGGAGGGATTGGAATAAGGTTTGTAGACAAAGTAATGTGATTGCATCAATATTAAATGGTGCCTTCCTAATGAAGATTAAGATTAATTTTTGCACTGGGAAGATAGAATACCTGAACAGATGATAATTGTGAATGCACATGAATGCAATCATATAGTATAAGGGAAAACTGGAATAATGTTGGGAGAGTTTTACAACCTTTCTAATGAATAAGTTCAAACATTTATAAGACTAGAACTTCTTGGTTCCTACTTCCCAGTCCTATTTCGTGATGCCCATTCAGAATTACAATTACAGAGTGGCCTTTCGAGGGTTCAGTGCTTCAGGTCAAGACCTGGCTCTCTAGGGGGGCTTAACACTTAGGAGACACTAGCACTTGTTACCAATAGTTACTTTCCAAAGAAACTCGCTGAGCAATAAATGCAGGTAATTTTCTTTTGAGAATCAGCTTTTGGGATTTTGAGATTGGAATACTAGCAAAGATTTTAAGCAGGTACCTGGGGAAATGGGGCATGGGGATGTCACAATGAGGTCAGTAGAGCAGTTAGGAGGTGGAAAATTCATAACAATTTCCCTAAAATGGAGATTGAACTGAGTCACCTGGGGGTGGAACTCTCTTGGAAGTGACTTCCTAAGGTCCCTACCATTCCTGGTTCAGAGAATCTTCTCTATGGAGAGTGCAGTGATATCAGGGACAGAGAGGGGTTAAGAAGAGCTCACTAACCCCTCCTTCCCATTGCTCCAGGTTAGGGAGAGAGAGGACAGATTAACCAGTAGAGCAAGCACCTGGGAGGAGGAGCAGAAGGGCCAGAAGTCACAAACAGAAGAGAAGACAGGCGGGATCCACCCCTCTCCTCTTCACAGCTGCCTGCCAGCACATTTCCTTGGCTGCCAGTGAAGCACGTGTCCCCAGAGCCCACAGGTCACTGTGCAGGGCTCAGGACACAGGGCTCTGGGCACAGGCCTGGGTGACACAGCTGGTACAGGAGCTAGCATGGTGGGGAAGAGAATGTTGTTGCTAGCAGGCTTCCTTCTGCTGGGGTTCCTGCTCTCAGAGACCACCAAAATTCTGACTGTATCCTCACTGGGTGAGTGTTTGGCAAGAAAATCAGAGACAGCTGCATCCCAGGCACCTGCTCCAGGACTCAGGCACATACCCATGGGTCAGATGGTCATTCTATGCGGTTTTCCATACAGGGCTTGGGTCCCAGGTTAGAGGAGGGAGAAGACAGAGTGGGCCTGGAGTGGCGGAGTGGGGTCCCTCCTGCTGGTGGTGGAGAAGTTAGTTGTGGAGAAATCAGTGGTGTCCTTTCCTCTCATTTCATCTGCTCTGGAAGTGCTTCCCATTGTACATAGCTAGGGCCAGAATTTAGATCCAGTGCTGACCTGGAGACCTTAAGCCATCTACTCCAATGAAGGAGGATACTTTCAGAGGAATACCCTAAAAATCTGGGATGCAGAATAGATGCCAGTAGAAAGTGGAAGTTGAGGTCAGTTTTGGGCTCTTGGAGGCCAAGGATGGGGGCTCAGAGCTGGAGGAGGCAGCACAGACTGAAAATGTGTCATTAATAGGATACCTGGAAGACTGATGGGGCAGAGGAGGGGGCCCCAGGACAACAATCAAGTTCTTGAGAGCCCCCTCTCTCTTTTGCCCTTGCTGCTGGAAGGTTTTGAAGGACCCTGAAACAGTTGGTTTTGTCAACTGAGTTTTGTCACCCTACTTTTCCCCAAAGGGAACAGAAGGGAAACAGGAACATTTATTAGGATAATGAGTCACCATAGGATGGATTTTCCCCATGAATTTTTTGGATCCATTGTGAAAGGATAGGGGGCTCTCGGGATCACTTTTCGATCCCTCTGAATCTGAGGATCCTAGAGCTGGAAGAAACCACAAATTTCATCTAATTGGGCAGTAAGTGTAGGCATCCCCCTTTTATTTCCTGACAGGGAAACTGAGGGTCAGGGAAATTAGGAGCCTTTTGCAAGAGCACATCAGACCTCCCTGACGGACACACTCAGACTTTACTCACTGTCTCTTACCTCAAACCCGTCCTCTTCTCCAAACTCTACTCTTTACAGTAGGGAATTCCTAAAAATCAGTATTTAAAATACTGTTTTCTATTTTAAGTCTAGTTTTTAATGATAGAAGTAGCAGGAAAAAAGAGCTTCCTCACTACTTGAAAATACGTGTCCTCTGGATTCTGGGAGGGAGCAGGTGTGGTTTAGAAGCACTGGAAGCCCCGTCTCTGGCCCAGAATGCATTGGGCTCACCAAGACCCTCAGGAGTGGCTGCCTCTGTGGGATGGCTTCTCCCTTGTATCCATTTCTTCCACGGATTTAATGTGAGCCAGAGAAGGCAGTATGAGGGAGTAGGGGTTTGTGTTTTATGTAACTGGTGTTACCTCAGGCAAGACAAGTATAGATATAAAAAACTAATTTCCACAGATACACACTATTACTGTAGTCCGACATCCCTCTATGCTGACCCAATCATCATGAGAGCTTCATCTTCCAAACAATCCCCACTTCTTATGTGGGCAAATTCTATTGCTTTCCTCCTACTTTGACTTACTCTGCGGCTGACCCCAGAGATTCAACAAAAATCCCCATTATGGCTTATGGTCTTAACACAGTCATTGCAGTGATAGAGCCTGTACCTCCCCAGAAGATCAAGCTTCTCTTTCATTAGAATCTCAGGACCCTTAGGATGGGTGTTATCCCAGTCTGTCCTGTGCAAGATCCTGTAGTTCCGCCCAAGAGCCCTGAATGCCTTAATTTGATGTTCAGCAATTTTCAAGCTCCAACTGGAAACATCCTGCCAAATTATTTTTGAATCTCAAAGATTTTGATTCTAAGTGGTGGGTCTACCTCCTTCTGCTCCAGTGGCTATTTCTTGGACTGATATTCAAGGTCCCAGTTCCAGTCTGACTCTAACATAAATTTCCAAAGGGAAGGATTCCATAAAGAGCTCTGACCAATAGGAACCCTTCCCACTCCCATACACAGTACTCTACCTAATTTCTACTCTGTCCCCATAAGGGCTGGCTAAAATCAGTATGTACCTAGGATCAGGAACTCCTAAGGCCTAAGAAGAAAAACTTGTCACACTGACATGGAGACCATGAGTCACAAAAGGAAATCTTGATGAGGGACTTCCACAGGTTAAGATTTGGGCAGACACTGTGTAGGTGTCTTGGCTGCTGCTTACCTCAAGTGAGACAGAGGAACTGAAGAAACTCATCTTCCTCTGTTCACCATCCACTCTCTGTCCTCTTATCTTGTATTTCTCTATCCACCACATCAATTTCAGACGCTCTGCTCTCATCTTTACAAAATGAAATTTCATATTTTTCCTAGGTGGAAGCCATTATCTACTGCTGGACCGGGTATCTCAGATTCTTCAAGATCATGGTCATAATGTCAGTATGCTTCTTTATGGAGAAAAATTTTTAATCCCAGGTGTGTTTTTTTGTTTTGTTTTGTTTTTTTGTTTGGTTGTTTTTTTGGTAATCATTGAATTCCTCTATCCCAGAGAAACAATGTCTTTTGTATAGCTCTGCTTAGCATAAAATCTGTTTGAATCTAGCTATATTGAATTAAGGGGAAAAATGTGTGTGTGTATGTTTATGTTACCTGCTGGATATCATATTAGGGTCTGTAGACCTGGCCTTCACATGCCATAACTCCATGTTTTACCCCCTCAGCTAGGTGTCACTTCATTTAGGCAAAACTCTACATATCATTATTGATCATTTTGATAACTACGACTCTGTGGTGTGCCTTTAATTGTGTTGAACAGAAGTGTTCAGCCATATTTATAGTTTCTGTTATGTAAGGAGATCTTCTCATCCTGTTTCATAGGTTATTTTTACTCCTGTTATGAGACCTGAACTTTAAGAAAGCTTTTTTAAAGGATCTCTTTTAGTCATGTCCTAGGATCAGAATCTATCAGTGAGATGACCCTATATTCTTGAGGCGTCAGTGGCAGCCCGTGACTTGTGCATAGTGATGTCAGAAGTTCTCGAGTGGGTAAATACCCAGCAGTGCAATTGCTGAGTCATAGGGTGGCTCTATTTTTAACTTCTTGAGGAACCTCCATACTGTTTTCCAGAGTGGCTGCACCAGCTTGCATTCCCACCAACAATGTAACAGGGTTTCCCTTTCTCCACATCCTTGCCAACATTTGTTGTTCCTTGTCTTGTTAATTTTAGCCATTCTAACTGGTGTAAGGTGTTATACACAACTATTGAATCATTGAATATTATGTCAAAAACTAATGATGTATTATATGTTGGCTAATTGAATTTAAATTTTAAAAAATCCAAAAAGTTTGTAGCTAAGATGAAGCTCATCAGTCTTGTCAAGTCTTCTCTGTTGACAGATAAGGACATAGAGAACTCAAAAGTTTTGTTCAAGTCCACACAGCAGGTTAATAATAGAGTGGGTGGATCTGGAACTTTAAGCTCTGGGTTTCTCATTCAGAATTGCTGAAACTTTAATTTAAAAAAATTCCAAAATTAATCACTTCTGATGAAAAACAAGTCTGAGCAATTATGAAATTCTGAAGATGAACTTCAGGTTCTGTTGCTGTTTAATCAGCCTCTAGATCAGGTTCACACTAGATATCCTTTCTGTACACATTCCTTTGTATCTGCCTTGTCAGTCTGATTATGTATTTGCTTTGACTGCCAACCATGGTAATTGTAGTCCATCATCATTTCATTTTGCTGGTTCCCAGGAACTGAGGAACTGCTGAAAGCTTTAGACCCTCTACCACTTTAACACACATGCCCACACTCAAACTACACACCATCCAGGGTACCCATGGATTCCCTTAGTTTTATTCTTGGTTCCAAGTTTTAATAGTCCAGAATTTCTTGCAATATTTACCGTTCACTGGGAATTTCTGAGGTTTTGAAATGGATTATTTATTTTTCTCTTCAGCAGTAGACTTTGGTAAAGGTCTGCAAATAAGGGAACATGTGATTGGATTATTTTTGTTGACCTGATTCAACACTTAGTATCAAAACTTTTTAAACCTGTATTAACCACCCCTTGGATAATTTCCTTAAAGGGTTTTTATTCACAACTTCAATGAATAAATGACTTCAGAAATACTGAAGTAACCTCAGTTTCTAATACTGATTTGTAAGATTATTTCAATCAGTAATTGAAATCACAGGTATAAGATGCCACCTTACAGCAGACTTAAATGTCTGCAGTTCTGACTCTCCCTTTTCCTAAGAGAGCTTGCTCTACTTCTCCGTCTACCAGGTAGACATTCCCCAAGTGACAGGTCTTCTTTGTTTTGGGGATCTGTGCAGTTACATCATTGATTCAGAGGCTTGCTTACAAACACTGAAGCAAAGTTTTGCCTAGAGGCACATTATTGGGACTAGATAGTTCTACCCCTTTCAGCCAGTTAGTTCTGCTTTTGTTGGGTGTGGAGGTAGGAGAGCAAATCAGCAGCTAATGTAAGGAAGCCCTTGTGTTGGAACTCAGGCTTTGATTGGACTCATGGGCTACTCAGATAATCTATCAAGTAGTGCTCACCTTAGCCCTGGGAGTTAAAAAACCCCGTATCTTAGTCTGCTGTTATCAGGGTGAGGTCAATTTCTTTCTTTCTTTCCTTTTTTAAAAAAGAAATTTATTTATTTATTTGAGAGAGAGAGAGTGAGAGAGAGCTAGTGAAGGGGAGATGCAGAGGGGGCGGGAGAGAATCCCAAGCTGACTCTGCTGAGCATGGAGCTGATGCCTGGCTTCATCTCAGGAACCTGAGATCATGACCTGAGCAACCAACAGTTTGATGCTTAACCAACTGAGCCACCCAGGCGAGCCCAGGTCAAATCTTATTACTGGGGTTTATAGAGTTTAATAAATTACAACCACCGTTCCTTCTGAATTTTAGAACCTATTGAGAGAATGTTACAGGACTTAGATCAAAATGCATCTTTATCTAGCTGATCAGGGAGCTTTCCTTTAGATCTTCGTTAACTGTCAAGGCTGAGTAGCGGCTTGAAAAGAGGCTCTGTATAACCTTTGGGTTTTGTTCTGTTTATTCTTTATGGTGCCTTGGGTAGTTTCCTCCCATGTTTGCATTGACTGTTCTCAGGAAGACCCCAACCCCAGAGCTTTCTCTCCCTATAGCTCTCTTGTGGTATTCTGGTATTCTGCCTTGTGAGTTCTAGCTGTCATGTTCTCTCCCAAATCTGAAGTGCTCCCTCAGGAGATGGCCAGGCCACATCTGGGTGCCTCCTCCATGAGCTGTATCTTGGAAGTTTTCTCCAGCCATCCATGAATGTTGTGTGCTACCTGGGGTACAATATCTAAAAACCATTTTAACATGCATTTGGTCTGGTTTTATTTAGTTGTTTAAAGTAGGAATTTCAATATGGTCCTGTGGCCTTCTTGTGCCACAGACTGAAGTTCCTTATCTTCATTATTTAAATCTTTGTATTTAAGTAATATTGGCATATAATAAACTGCATATATTTAAAATATACAAGTTGATATATTTGGACGTATACATATGCTGAGAGAGAGAGATATATATATACACACACGTGCGTATCTGCCTGTGAAACCATCAACATAATCAAGATAACAAATATATTTGTTCCTCCACCAGAAGATTTCTAAGGTCCTTTTGCAATGTCCCCTCAGGACCCTCCCACCTTTCTACTCTCCACTGCCAGTCAATCCTTAATATATCACCATGAGTTAGAGTGTATCACGTAGATTTTATATAAATGAGATCACAATCATGGACCGTTATTTTGGTTTATTATGCTCAGCAAAAAAAAATATATATCTTTAAATTTTTTAAATCTATTTTTCTTTTAAAGCTTTTATTCATTTGAGAGAGCTCATATATAAGAGAGAGAGAGCACAAGGTGGGGGAGGGACTGAGGAAGAGGAAGAGAGGGAAAAGTAGGCTCCTTGCTCAGCCAGGAGCCAGATGTGGGGCTCCATTCCAGGACCCTGGGATGATGGACCTGAGCCAAAGACAGACGCTTAACTGACTGAGCATTCCAGGGGTCCATCAGCAAAAAATACTTTGAGTTTCCTTTATAGCGTGTGTATGCAGAGTTCATTCCCTTTTATTGCTGAATAGTGCTCTGTGCGTGAATTACCACAATGTGTTTATTTAGTTGCTTGTTGATGGGCATTAGGATTGTCTCCTGTTTTGAGCTATTACAAATACACGTGCTCTGAAGAGTTGTGTACAAGCTTTTATGACTATGTACTATCTTTTCTCCACATTAATTGTTAGGAGTACAGTGGCTGAACCATAGTTTCAGTATATGTTTAAGTTTTTAAGAAATGGCCACGCTCTTTCCCGGGAAGCTGTAATATTCTGCATTCTCATCAGAAGTGACTGCAGGTTCCATGCACACCACATCCTTGTCAATACTTGATATGGTTAGTCTTTTTACTTTTAGCCATTGATGTGTGGGTGTATTTCATGGTTCTTTTTATATGCATTTCCTTTATTACTGATGGTGCTATGCGTTTTTTTCATGTGCTTATTTGTCAGCCATATATCTTCACAGATGGAGTGTTTCCCAAATTTTGCCCATTTTTAAATTGGGCCATTTTTTTCTTATTCTAGAGTCTTCAGAGTTCTTGATATATATTTTGGATGTAAGTATTTTATGAGCTATACATCTGCAAATATTTTTTCCCAGTCCATGACTTATCTTTTCACTCTTACCAGTGTCTTTTGAAGAGCACATTTTTTAATTTGTTGAAGTGTCATTTCATGCTTTTGCTACATGTATTAGTAAGAATATATGATTTTTTTAACTTACTTTGTCAAAATAATGAATGGCACTAATTGATTTTCAAATGTTAAAACTAAACTTATATTGTGGGAATAATACTAATAGGTCAAGGTGTATTTTCACTTTTATGTAATTTTAGATGTAGTTTGCTAAAATTTTTTTTAAAAATTAAAACAAAATTTTTTTAAAGATTTTATTTATTTGAGAGAGAGCAAGAGTGAGAGAACATAAGCGGGGCAGGGGGAGAGCGAGAGAGGAGAAGACCCCCCCACTGAGCAGGGAGCCCGATGCGGGGCTGGATCCCAGGACCCTGAGATCATGACCTGAGCCGAAGGCAGACGCTTAACTGACTGAGCCACCCAGGTGCCCCTAGTTTGCTTAAATTTTGGTTTAAAGTTTTATTTCTGTGTCCATGTGGGCCATCATTATGTGATTCTCTTTTCTTTTCTTTTTTTCTGGCAATGTTAATCAGTGCAATACTTTCCTGATAGAATAATAGGTAGTGTTCCTCTTTCAATTTTCTGGTAGAGTTTGGTTAGAATTCGTATTGTTTCTTCCTAAATTGTTCTAGCCACTCTGAGAGACAGGCTCTCTCCACCCACCCCAAAGTTAGGTTTGGATGTTGAGACTTACGGCCTTGTATACACACAAAGAGGTTATAAAATGGTTTATTAG